GACGACTAATTTCACGAATACTCATTGTAGGATTTTCTTCTACATTACGTAGCACTTTTTCTTCAATTTACCATAAATGAGTAACATATCACAATATTCTGTACAAATATCTGTAAGATAAAAAGAAATGTCAAAAAAATGTAATTTTTGACAGCTTGCGTTTTGTGTATCATAATATTTTTTTCTTTATAATATTTTTAACAAAATCTTAATTGCGTAAACAATATTTATGTTAATATGTATTAGCAAGTTTATTTTCCAAATATTAATACTAACAACAGGAGAGCGATAGTCAATTTCGCTTTTATCATTGTACGTTGTACACACCTGAGCGCACAAATTTCAGGCTATCTTATTCGCTAACTTTAAATGCTTCTAATTCAAAAACCATTACACCCGGAGTATTTTGGTATTAAGATTTTTTGCTCAGAATTATCTCAGAAATATACCCCTAAGCGTTGTTACGGTCTTTACGGGACACCCTGTATATATATATATGAGGCATTCTTTCTCAACTTTACACCCATACTGCCCATTTTCTACTTGATCTAAAAATTTTTGAAAAAATCTTAAAATTTACAGAAAAATGTAAGCTTTCCAATGGCGCGTGTCAAAATTATCAAATTCAATTGGATCATACTTAAAATTTCAGAAAACCAAAAAAAATAAAATGGTAATTATTCAAGTGTAGCAATTATTCATTCGACGTTTTTCTCTTCCAATTAACACTTTCGAGTACTCTGTTTATCTGTGCACTGTCACATGAGTCTAAACTAAAATGGCGGATCTAATATGGCCGCCAAAAATTTAAAAATTTAAGAAATTAACTGATTTTTTATAAAACTTGGTATCAAGAGGTTTTTTCGGGTTACTGTATACGAGTCTAAAGTTATCTTTCAAAAATCAAAATGACGGATCCAATATGGCCACCAAAACATTTTTGAAAATTTTTTAGAAATTAACGAATTTTTTATAATACTTGGTATCAGGGACTTTTTCGGGTTGCTAATAACGAATCTGAAGTCGCATTTTCGAAAATTTAAAATGGCGGATCTAATATGGCAA